TCCCCGCGGGCCCGGCTGACCTGGCTCCTGACCGGCTGACCTCCCGATTTTCCCGGACATGCCCGGCTTTTGGGGATTTCCCCCCGGACGGGGATTTGAGCCCCCAAAAGCCGGACATGTCCGGGAAAATCCGGACGTATGGTAACCATATTGGAGCAGGCATCATGCCTAATGGTTGGAGCAGGCATCAGTGGTCGGAAGCTGTAGCCAAGAGTCAGACCAGAGGACAGGAACTGGATACTTGAACCCAGGGTCAAGCCAGGGTCAATAGTCAGGAAACAAAGTCATGAGTCAAGCTGGAGGTCAGGAACTGGAGCAAGGAGGAATTCAAGGCAGGGCAGGACAGAGACAAGATTAGGTGCAAGGCAGGAGCAGCAGAAACAAGGTAACACAGGAGACTTCACAGTAGTGGGCATGAGCATCAAGCAGTCAGCTAACTGCTTCTGCTGTCTTAAGAGCCACCCTGTAGACCCTTCCAGCCAAACAGACGTTATGGTCAGCTTGCTGCAGGCCAGCTGTACTGATGAGGCTGCCTGTGCTGCAGGCCCTGATTCCTGACAGATGGTTGGATATTAAGACATGCCCCCTGGTCTCAGCAGACAAGTTCAGACATGGCACTAGCTGTGTTCCCCATCAGCTAGCTTGAGGAAGGGAGCAAGACACCAGGATTCCCAGAAGGCCCAGCTATTTAATAATTTGCAGTATTTAAACTCCTGAGATTTCTTTATTCACAAAATGTCATTGAGAAAATCCATCCTACTTCACCGGTGAGGTTGGCTTTGTGAAATCAGCCAGTTTCACCCACATCTGTATTGGATCTGGGATCCATGTTAAACTCTACATCTTTCTGAAAAATACTCTGAACAAGGGGAGAACCAGATGCCTTGCATAACACCCATTTCCTCCTTCCTATCATCACTTTACCCAGCTGCAGAAGGTAGACATGCTATCCTTCTAATGATGACAAAAGTCTTACTGACTGATGCATTTAACTACTGTAACTTCACTTTCGTTTTTCTTACACGCACATTGAGCTGTGACTCATTTTCACATCAGTTTTATAATGATGTACTATCAAAGCTGTGATCTTCATTTACACTGGCTGACAAGAAACTCTCTCCAAATCTAACTGAAATCTGTTCGTGATCAAGAGAGAAAATGTCATCTCTTCAAGAACTGAGCATTTTGTAGATGCAGCTGTTTATTTTTTGGAGAAAAAGTCTTGCTGTCTGAGACTCAATAGAGCCAAGCTATTTTCCAGCCTAAATACAGAGTCTACATGGTGTTGTTGTATAAAAAATTTTTAGCAGCATGAGTTTGGAAAGGGTTTTTGTTACTTGCAGGATGAATACATGAGTCAGTGAAGGTCACTTCAGATGAGTGACACTTAAATCTTCATATTACACCATCATGTGTTTTGTATTTTACAGAAGAAAAAAAAACAATTTTAGTCCCCATTCCTGCAAATACACACATGCTTAACCTTATGCTAGTGAGTAGTCTAATTGAGTTCCAATATATAAAGTTAAGCATGTGTATAAACAGTTGTAGGACTGGGGCCTTACAAAATTTGTAGAGAGCTTTAGAAATCTTTACCATGTCTTATGTATCCCTCTACCTGTAAACCAGACTTTTTAGAACCATGTGATTAACTATACAGATCTCAAAAGGACAGAAATGATATTTCCTTGCAGGATCAGAGCATGTGTGTATGTATGAATATGATATATGTGTGTGAAAGAGAGAGGGAGAAAATATGTGGGGATATTTCTATTGTCATAAAGTCTTCTGAATTCCCAGTGGGTGAGTTTATATCTACTGAATAAATAAGTTTAAAAAAAATCAAACTCTTTATTTCGGATTTACATTTGCAGTTGAGCTAATTAACCTGTTTAACTTTGAAATTAACATTTGTTTTTATTTTTAACATTTTTTGGCAGTTCACATTTAACCTCAGTCTAGACTTTTCTATTCTGGTTTTAAATATACAAAACAGAAGCACCTCTCTCCTCTGCATTACAGTGCCCTCTTCTCTCTTTAAGGGGAGAGCAAAACTGTTCTACACAGTAAGGTCCCAATTCTGCAACAGAACCTACTAACTTGGAAACCTACAACCATGCAGATACCAATGAGAACAGTGGGCCCTCCACATGGGCTCTGTCTGGTTGAGCTCAAGACAGGCATCTTAGGAGGCAATTTGATCATTGGTCTTTACCATCTTTTTTGTACAGAAGCAAAATTATGAACCCTATAAGTACTCAGTGGAACTGTGATTTGCATGTTCTTGAACAATGAATGAATTATTTACTGACTGGTCACATTAAGAATTGTCATGAGAATTAGTTAGTATTTGGTGTGCAACTGGGGCTCGGAACCTGCAAGCTGTCCCCATAAAAATTCTGCTTATTAGATGCATTTTCTGATCGTTCTTTTGGGTAACTAACTCTTAAAATTTGTACAGTGCTTCTCCCCCACAGGTATTTAACTGAAGTCCCATTTCTATATTATGAGATTAATCTAATAAGATCAGAATGTGAAGATCTTGATTTCTCAGCTGCACACTCATAGGTCTTTTAAAGTTGGTATGACTCAGCTATAAAAACGATTTAACATCCTGACTACCTACATTAAATTGAGTGGGGGGTTTTTTGTTTTTGTTTTTGTTTTTTTGTGTGAACTAGAAAAGTGTGCCAAAAGAATAAGGGTTAAATGATTTACCTCATCATTCTGTCATTTTTCACTTCTCCACCCCCTCCATTTAATTTAATTATAGATGTATATACATTAACTGACAGGGAGTCAGAGTAAAGTTTACATGACACTGAAAAAATTTCTGATCCCAAAGTAGAGATTTTTTTTCAGTCCACGAAGGCATTTTCCAGGCTGTATGGAAAAGTTTTTTAGTGGAGCCTGGTCCTGAGAAATACTGAACACCTGAAACTTTCGAATAAAGCAACTGGAGTTTCAGGGGCTGCACGTATTCCAAGATCAGGCCTCGTAAAAGAGAGTCATTATGTGTCCCTTCCTTTTCTGTAGCCTAACCGCTGCTACAGTATCTCATTGTACCAGAAGTTTCCAAGGTCACCTCAGAACTAAAATCTGTTCTAAATTATGCCTGTGTATTTACATTCAGAGGGCAGAAGCACTCTAATTAGAATCACAGAACTGATATTAGCCCTGTCTTTTACAGTTTTTCTTAAGGGCAAGAAATGTTTTTCTTGTAAACAAAGTCTTAGAGAAAGATCTATAGAAATTTGATGACACACAGAAACAGCTTTACAATCAATGTTGAGGGTCACAGCCTCAAGATTAAGAAGTATGGCACTAGACTGCAGACAGGTTCTAACTGCAGAGAAAGAGTATAGTAAATATTTAATACTGATTTTTTTCCCTCTTATCACAGCACTGGAGAGCATGGAAGGATATTATTACAGAGACAATGTGTCCGTAGAAGAATTTCAAGCCCAGATTAATGCAGCGTCACTGGAAAAGGTCAAACAGTATAACCAGAAACTCAGGTAGGTAGTGAGCCAGCCTTCCCTATGGTGGCTATGTAGACTTTATATTTTAAATTAACCTTAACCAGACTTTCTCAGATTGTGGTCCATGGAGCACTGGTAGCAGGGCCGGCTTTATGACCCGCGGGGCCTGATTCCAATACCGGGCGGCGGTCCGGGGCTTCAGCGTCACTTTGGTGGCGGGGAGTCGATTCCGGGTCTTCCGCGGCACCGAAGGACCCCCCACTGGCAAAATGCCGCTGAAGACCCCCAGAGCGGACCCCCGGCCACTGAAATGCCACCAAAGACCCCCATGTTGCCGGCACAGAGTGCCCGAGGAAAGCAACAGCGGGGTTCGTTGCCCGGTGTGCGTCGCGCCAATGAGCACACTAGGGTGGAGAAGCAATCAAAGTTTTATTTGAGATCTCAAAGCGGTGCAAGGAGACTTGGCACGTCTCAGATCAAGCACACCAACATAAGCAAGTTTTCTCTTTTTATACTTTACTGTAACTAAGCTCTTCCCTTTCCCCCCGCCTTCCCTCTTTCCCCCTCCCTTCCTCCTATAGTAGTTACATTAAGCAGTAGCATTTATATTTAAGCAGTTAAGTCATCTTGGCGGCTATAAGTCTAGCTTGTTAGTAACTCTTCTGTGAACCGTTATCTAGTCCTTTTCCCTTTGATCTGTTATTTTGCCTTTCAGCCAGAAGCATGCAGGCCTTATTACAACCGCTTTATACCGGTTTGAGCGGTGTTGCAACTGATAACTGACTGTTACACATTCCATTCTCTGTTGCTGGCTTGTTAGGTCGATTAAAGTTCAAACATGGAGGAGCTTTGCTTCATTTAGGCCTAGTGCAGGAAGGCTTCATCAACACTCGTGGTCTTCCACCCTCACGAGTTGCCTAGGGGTGATGCCTAGTGACACCAACACCCAGAACGGACCCCCCAACGCCAAAATGCCGCCGAAGACCCCTGAAGCGGGGCCCTCTTAGGCGCATCGCCCGATTCTGGGGAATCGGCTTAAAGCCGTCCCTGACTGGTAGTTCACAGTCACCAGCTGGTCTCATGGTTCTGGCTCTCCTCCTTGCATTGCTAAATTGCATTGAAAGACAAGTGAAAATAATGAAATTGTTTCCTAATATTTTTCCCTGTACACTATTAGTATAGTTGCTGCAAGGTTGTTATTTGATTGCATATGAGAAGGGAACAGTCTGGGTGATCACAAAAGTAATGGAAAGTGATATCTGAGCCAACCTCTCTTATAAGCACCCACATATGTAAAAATTTGAGAACCCCAATCAATACTCACAATTCTTTATAATGTAGGGAAAATGACTTAGCAAAATGTTAAAGACAAGAAATGATTCCCTTAAAATATTTTGTAACAGAACTAAAAATTTCTATTGTAATTCTGTGGAAATATTATTTTTATAAAAATATTAGGTTTACATTTGATGGGAGAGGTGCATGGGAGGGATTAATATACAGATTGTCCCACAACTTTTAAAGGTGGGTGTGAACATCCAACACTTAGTGGGAGTTTTTGCATAATGGGTTTAAATTCAGGTTAATCTCTAGTTTATTTTCTAGTAAATCTAGAAAACTATAATACCATTTCAGTGCATATACTCAAGCAATTCAAGAAATAATCTATCAGTTTCAGTTTAAAGTAAGATTGAAATGCCTCACGTAGGACAATCTAGAGTTTTTGTGCATACCAGTTAAATTAATATCTACCTTGAGATGAACACCATAAACTGGTATACTTAAATTCCCTAAAGGACACTGATAAATGCTAAATTGCTATATCATGAGTTACAGCTGTATTTGGTTAATGAATTGATGTATTGATATCAGTATTGTTAAATATTATAAGCTAATTTTGTAGGTTTATTTACTTAATTTCTACAGAACAGGATTTAACAGCCCATGCAGTTTTCCTGGAAGCTCAATACCAGCGTGTCAACAAAAAAAGAAAAATAAACATGGGTATTTGCTTCAACTGCAACCAAGAGATATGCACATGCACTGTACAGTGTGCATAAAAAGATCACAAGATGGTGCATTCTAGTGACCACAAGATGGTGTATTCCATGAGGAAATAACATCCAGTGGAATTTTTCATACAGAAAAATTTCTGCTTTTATTTATGTGTAAAGTAATGTAACAAGCCCAGGAGAATAGATATTAGGCGTTTTCACTGCATTTGTGGAAGCCATTTCTCTGAGTAGGCTATATTTGTAGATGAATTTTAAAAAGGCTCACTGGAAAATCAAGAATGCAGTAAAATTGTGGCTTTTTGTTTTTCTAGCTTCATGAGGCTGATGAAATCTGTAATGGTATCTGGTTCCCATTAGCTCTGAGAAGGTGGGCGGCTTTTAAAAGAAGAAATGAGAAGTGGGGGAAAGAACGATGAGATAAAGATGTAGGAGAAAGGGGAAGGAGGAGGAAAGAGAACACATTCATCCTGTCCAAACTTTTCTTAAAGTGACAGTACTTGGATAGGGAACAGTGAGCAGTATTAAAAAAAGAGTGAAGATCCCAGTATTACAGTTCCTTCCATTCACCATTTTCAAGAGAGGTTCTCTGTGCTTTTCTTCTGAAAATATGTCTAGGTGTACATAGTGTTCTTCTGTTTTACCTCATTGATGGACTTTCAGAAATTCCTTTAGGAGTTCGTAAAAGATATTCAATAAAAATTGTGCATTTCCTTTCTGTTTACTATATCTGTGTCTCTGCACTTTTAACCCAACTATCGTTATAATAATTAGGCACCCTATTGCATTCACTCTTCTCTTGTTTCATTTACTGTCATCCAGGAGCATGTTCTCAGTTTCTTCTACTGGTTCGTTTATTGTGGAAGTACTTGTGTGAAACATGGGTTCTGCAGCTTTCTCTGACCATGGCAACACATGGGCTAGCTGAGGCCAGCCTTTCACTGAAGAAGTTCTGTTTCCAAATTACTTGGCTCTTACACCAGCGGCACAAGACAGCTAGTTGAGGAGGTTTACTATCCAAGGGCCTGACCTAAAGCTTACTGAAATCAATGGCAAAAATCTCACTCACTTAATTGGCCTAAAAGTGCTGATGCTGCCTGATCCTACTTAGTTTGTGTGAGCTGGAAAGAGCACAGAACAAGGTGGCTACTGCTGTGCATTATTATGTTCTTCCTATCTTAGTTCCTGCTGCAGCTTTAATGAGATAACAGTACTCTTAAGGCCATCTTTACGCACAAACCTGACCGGTGGCCAATCTCTAGGACAATACTTTTTCAAAAAGTCATGATTAAACAGTCAAGATTTACCAAAAATTTCATAGGGGTGTCGAGTGGGTCTTTTGTATTCTCAGTATAGGAAAAAAACCCTGTTATGTCCAATACTAATGTGGTAAGTGTTTGTAAGTGCTGACTTTTTAATGGTGATCATACCACATCCCATAAATGAGGGACAAGGGAGCTTCAGGAATTAACTGCATATGTAATATAATGTGAAAATAGAGTACAAGAAATCCAGAAAAGCAGATGCTAATATTCTTGTTCTGCCAGTTGCTAGTCAGAATAGGTGTTTGGCTACGAGACTCTAATAAAGTAACTATAGCAGCAAAACTCAGTGACATTTGGATAATAGTTCTCAAAGAAAACCATAAAATTGAAATTAAATATCTCATGGAAATGTATGCATGCTCCCTGGAAGTTCTGGAAGTATAACTTTTAACTCTGCAGGTACCGGTAGTAGAATCTACTAGGGCTGTCAAATGATTTAAAAAAAATATTTGCAATTAATTGCAGTTTTAATCACACTGTTAAACAATAATAGAACACCAATTTAAATTTATTAGAAATATTTTTGGATGTTCTACATTTTCAAATATATTGATTTCAATTACACTACAGAATACAAAGTGTACAGTGCTCACTTCATATGAGTATTTTTTATTACAAATATTTGCACTGTAAAAAAGATAAAAGAAATAGGAGGGTATGCTTTATTCATCATACATAACAGGAAGGTTGAGTCCATGCTTTAATTGCAAAACACAATCTTAATGATGGAACTCTGACCAGCTTCTTCATAATATCACCAGTGATATAGCAGATATGTTGGCCTAGATACAAAACTGCTCTCTTTGACTCTGAGTTGGGCAGTCATAAAACTTTAATCTTTTACAGTTCTTGTTTTTAGGCTTTTGCAAGTACTATATATCAAGACGGAAACATAAATCATAGGATTTTCATGAGGAAGCTATAGTACAAAATGTGTATGGGGGAAGGATAGAACCTCTCTCCATCTTTCTTATTTAACTCAACCCTAGCAGTTTTAATCAAATCACTACTATAAGAAACTTATAATTTTAGTGCAGTGAAGTATTAGAGTTGCTACAGAATTCCAGAAAAGATGCATCAACACGTAGGAAAACCTTTATCTGTGGAAAGCTGTTACTTCAGAAGTAAATAAATAAAACTATGATTTTTTTAAAAACAAATTTTAACATCTGCACCATACTCATTCTTAATGGGTGTATATTTCTTTTTCACACTGCTAGCCAGATTGCATTTATTTTTATAGTTAACCAAGTGTCGCCATTTGTTTCCCTGACACTTGCAGGGAAAAAAATTCTATTTGCAAATTGGGAAGGTGGTGACAGTTGCCAGCATTGTAAATTTATTCTGACCTAAAGGTTTCTTGATGAGAAGATGTTGCGCAACCAGAAGAAAGCAATTAAGTCAGCAAAGATTTTAAACATTTTTATTACTATATGTTTGATAACTCAGCAGTTATCTTCTAAGTTAGAGGAAGAATATAAAGAGCTTACTGTTGTTAATGCCACAGAATGCTGCTGCTCAGTGCTGCTGTTCTTGGAGTTTTGATGTCAGCTGCACTAGCAAACAGTGCTCCATGTTAATTCAGTAGAACTCAATGTTATTCATAAGAAAGACCACAGGCTCGGTTCAGTGGCGAAGGCACTTGGCCAGGTTTATTGTTGGCAAAGCACGGTACTGGTGCCCTGTCCAATGGGTCACAGGGACACTAACACACGTATGCCTGTGATAAGGTAAAGGCCCACTAGGGTCCTATCCCCTTGACCTATACAAAGTTGCCCCTCGTATGACTTTTTATACACTGATACAAGACAGTTACCCATTACACTCCAGATGTTGTTAGTTACCACTCTTATAACTTGTGCCTGCTAGTTCGAACAAAACATCCTCATCTATTATCCTGTCATCCCATCCTTATCTTACAAAGGGTCAGTGTATTCCTGTACAGTCACTTGGAAATTTGTTTACATCGTTACTTGAGAACTCTGGGTATTCTTGCACCATCCTCTCCAGTCAGGGAAGTGCTTCCTTCATTAGCCAATTCCTGCTGTGTTACTATTCTACCAAGGCCAGACCTACTCTGGTTCACATCTTTTGGTTCACATTTTTAGTTATGCCTAAAGCTCCAGCAAGGCCTACACTCATATGCCTTAGTGATACAGTAGCTGATATATAAGTGACCTCATCCCATCTCCTGATGTCCCTCGTGCCCAGTCTTCTCCTTAACCTCTCACTTACTTCTGACTCTTTCCCTTCACAATACAAGCATATGCTAGTCTCTCCCATCTTAAAAAATACCTTGAGTAGAGCTAAGCATTTTTTCCAGCAAATAATTATTGACCAAAAATACATTTTTTGGTCAAATGACATCATTTGCAAATTCAAGTCAAATTCAGCGAATAGTTTTTGGTCTAATTAAAAAAAATGAAAACAATGTTCTTCAAAAAGTCTAAATGGTCCATTTTGATATTTTTAAATGAAATGCTTCAACTTTTTGTTTCAAAACAACATTTTGCTTTGAAATTTAGCTAGATTCATAAAAAAAATGTACACAGACAACAAAAGTGCTCCCCTCTCAGCCTATGCAGGCTCTGCTGTCCCTCTGCAGGTAAACAATAGGCATGCTCCAATTCCTGAGCCATCCAAGCATCTCCCTGAAGTGTCCAGCCCTTGTTGCACTGGATACTCACAGTACTCACAGATTCGCTGCTCCCAAAGAAGCAGGAGACTCAGCTTACTGCCTTTGCCCAGGTCACCGCTCCTTGTAACAAACAGCACTTAGATATGTTTATAGTGAAAATAAGGAAAAGTTTATTTAACAAAGAGGAGAGATTCAAATAACAGCAAGTAGAAATATTGGAAACAAATGGTTACATATAAAATCAGAACATGCATTCTAGAGCCTAAACTTATTTAACTAGATATTTTCACATTATATAGAGCAAAGCTCTTCCCAGAGTCCTTCTAGCATTTTTCATCCAAGGCCGGCTGTCATCCTTTTTTTATTAGACAGAATATGCTGCCAGCTTGTCCCCTGGGTAGAGGATACTGTGTCTCTTTTGCAACTCCTGATCTATCAAAATAGTACTCTGATCTTTATTAATAAACCAGACACTCTCCTGCTGTGTGTTCCTTCCTGTAGATTTCGCAGTCTCTTGTTAATTTCACAGTCTTGATTAGCTGGTGGCTCAGTATGCAAATAGACTTACATTGTGAGACACACAATGCACAATGACCAGAGATGAACTAAACATCTACTATCCCCTGCCTGAACAGGATCTGTCTGAGACATGTCACCTCTGGGGACCTGCCTTTAATGTCCAGGCTTTAAGAACATAATTTCCAGTATAGATGCATAACTTTTTAAGTGTTATCTGTACACACGTTCCACAATGATTATGATGACCAGTGAGCTACTGGCTCTGAATAGAGAATTTTCATGACACCCTTTGGTGAATTATTGTGCATATACTTGACCCAAGGGATCCCTGTAAAATTCTGTGCCTCTCTGTGCTCTCTGCCAGTTGTCACAACGAGGTTCCTGGGTCACAGTTCAACAGAGCTCTCTCCTTGGTTCGCTTTTCTTCCCCTCTCCATGCCTTGTGTCTGCGTAATCTCATCCACAAACACAAATTCAACTACGACTCACTGATCTGACTCTATTCTAGACCTGTTTCCTTCTGGCCAAACCAAAATCTCAGCCTGTGTCTCTGACATTTCCTCACGGATGTCTAGCAGTCAGCTCTTGCTCAACGTGGCTAAAATAGAGCTCCTGATCATCCTCCCGAAGCCGTTCCTCCTACCTCCTTTCTCCATCACTGTGGACAACATAACCATCGTGCCAGTCACTCGGTCCCATAACCAGAGTGTGATCTTTGACTTCGACCTCTCTCTAAGTTGTCACCGCCAGACTATGTTTAAAGCTTGCTGATTCTTTCTGCATTGTATCTTTACATTCTTCTTTGAGTGCTTGCTCATGTCCATTCCAATAGGTGAGTGTGCGCGCCGCGTGCACGATCGTTGGAAGGTTTTTCCCCTAGTGGTAACCATCGGGTCAGCTGTGGAGCCCCCTGGAGTGGCACCTTCATGGTGGTGTATATAGGACACTGTCGCCCTGCCGCCTACTCAGTTCCTTCTTAATGCCAGTGATGGTCATTGGAGCTTCCTTCAGTCTCTTGCTTTGCAAGTGCCTACTTAGTGGTTACCTTCTAGTTAGTTGTAAATAGTTCTTGAAAGTAGTAGTTTAATAGTAGTTATAGTTAGCCTCTTTCGGGGGGTTCCCCCCCCCAGCTCCCCTGGCAGGGGTATGCCTCTGTCTCAGCAGTTTAAATCCTGTGAACACTGTGGGAAGCCTTAAGTGCCTGGGTGAGGGCCATCAAACAGATACGTGCTCCATTTGCAGGAGCTTTAGACCCAGGATGAAGAGTGAGTGGGACTATCGCCTCAAGCTCCTTTTAATGGAGGAGGCTCTTCGCCCTCAGCCAGCACCGGAAGCAGCACTGGCGACATCGGAGCGTATTTTGTACTGGCTTCAGTATGGGATGCCTCAGCACTGAAAAAAGACTCCTCCAGGGAGCGTAGACACTGCTCCCCGGCTCACAAAGCAGGTTTGAGCATGCAGCACTACTCTCAGTCCCCAGTATCGCATAAGAAGAAGAAGAAGGCGGACAGGGGTTGGTCCCCCATCAGGAAACAGCACAGGGATCCCAGCGGGGTGTGTCCTATGTCAGGGCACCCACAGCCTGGCCCTTAGATCTTGGCACTGTCGACTCTGGTCCTGACAGGGGCTCCATCGAGTCTGGTGCTTGTGGACTCCCCATCTTGGGAGGAGTTGGAGGACAAGATTGATCTTCCCTCCACACCAGATACCTTATTGCCTTGATGGCACAGTCCCCGGCCCTGTAGGCACGACCACTGGCACCGGTCCAGGCAGCATTGCGAGGTCCAGCACCGGCGATGGCACAATCTACTGCACCTTTTGCAGCACTGATGGTGGCACCGCCACCCATTCAACACCGGGGCAAGCCAACAATGCTACGGCGCTGCTCCTCGTCACCATGGTACCATTCCCCAGCACCATCGGGCTCCACCCCTCCATGGTCTTGCTCAGACTGTTCATCGGACTTTGATACTGAGTCGTCGATCTCTCAACATAGTTGGTCGGTACTGGTCTGAGTCCGAGCACTGCAGATCATGGGACGTGCTGGCACTGGTGGTATCCTGGCCCCCACAATGGCAGGGCCCGGTACGGTGGCCCTTTTGGACTCCTTGGGCCTACCATCATGTTCAAGGGCAGGGGTCCAGAGCTATGTCCATGGTGTCCACGCCCTGTGCTCCTACTTCAGCCACATCAGTGCTGCACCATACTTCCACAGCACCTGAAGACCCCCCATGTGACAAGGACCCTGGGTCTTCGCAAGT